CACTTGTCGGGCTAGGACTAAATCAGTTCCTAACTTGTAGTTGACATCCCCAACTACTTAGATCATGTTCTACACGAAATGATAGTAGATACAAGCATAAATCAGACATGGGTAAAGGTGGTTACAAAAAGGAAACCGCCAACTGCTTTGGCATGTGCACTGCATGTGCCCTTTGACTTGGTTAGTTGATTCACGCCCAAGGCTGGCATTGCGCCCAGCCTTGGCTCATTTTGACATTGCCCCGCACCAATGCCTTGCCCGCAATCTGCCGCACATGCCCGATGCCACAGCCGCCCGCACATGCCTTGGCCGAGTTTCTGCCTTTCCATGGCAACCCTTGTTTCACCCGTGCCATTGCTTGTATTTTCCTTCACATAGCCTTGCCTTAGCTATTGGAAGCCTTTGCCATCATTCCGCACTGCCGCATTTTATCTTAGCCCATACTTGTTGCTGCCACAACCCGAAGTGCCCGTACCACTGACTTTGGCGCGCAATGCCATGCCATGCCGCCCCAACATTGCCCACACTGCCTTGTTAAGCCTTTTCGAAGCATGTCTTGCCTGCCCTAAGACCTTAGCCAATACTTGCCCACAACAGCCCTCATGACAATGTCATGTCCGTTATCCGCATGATCGTTTTGCCTGCACATAGGCCAATGGCAAGGCCATCACGCCCAATCCTTGCCACAGTCGCGCCACGCCCGATGTCAAAGATTCAGGCCCTAACAGCAGGATACTATTTTACCACTAGACCATTGGTGCATTTTATTTTAAGACTGTCTTTTATTTCATTTATACTCTTTAATTGTATTTTCGCAAGAAAATAACCGACCAAAGTTTATCGGTTTTATTAAAAAATAATATTACCGGCCGAATTCTGTCGGTTTTTTAAAATGACCGACCGAATTAACCGACCGATTTCGATCGGTTTTTTTTAATATTAATTGATTTATTTCAAATAAAAAACCGACCAAAGTTGGTCGGTTTCTTGAAAAATAAACTTTGCGGGACTCAAAAATAGTTTCCCGCTTTTCGCCAAAGAAAACTGACCAAAGTTGGTCCGTTTCGTAAAAAAAATAATTAAAAAATAAAATATTTTGAAAAACTAACCAACTTTTGGTCGGTTTTTCGGCTGGTTTTTTGACCGACCAAAATTGATCGATTTTTTGATCGACCAAAATTGATCGGTCGACCGTGGTCGGTCTTTGCCGAATTTCTTGTAGTGTTTACTCATATGTAAGCATTCAACTAATTTTTCAGTAGTTTTAACTTCTACAATTTAAGAGTCAGTTCATCATATACAAATACTCAATAGATCCATCCAAGTGAGCGCACCAATACCTGATCTAAAAATTCTTCTCAAGAATAGCTAAAATCATGTTCTTCCTGCATGAAAAAAGTACCAAAATAAAGCACAATAAGAAAAGTAATTGTTAATATAGAAGTCTTGGACGAATGAGATTAATTACTCGGAATTCTTTTATTATTACTTTCAATAATATTTTTAAGTATTATTTATTTATCTTTGTTTAAAAAATTAATTCAAAGTATAAGTATCCTTACACTATCTCTATTTTCCTCTTTATACACTTTTTCCAATTATAATATTTTAATTATTTTTTTACATTACTATTTTAACTATAATCAAAATAATGTATAATATTTTATTTTAAATCTTATCTTTGAATTAGCCTTTAATATTAATACATAGGTTTTTTGAGTATTATGTTTCAAATTATTGAGCTTTATTATAAATATTTTTTCTCTTACATGCAATTAAATCTTCTTTCTCTTTTAGTTTCAAGATATAAATTTGACTTTTAATTTCGTTAGTAAAATTACCTACATTAGATATTTACTTTGTATTTTTAAAATTCTAAATTTATCGAATTTTTAATTTTCTTTATCTAGTAAGACTTCAATTCCGTGGTCCTATCCATAGTTTCAGCATTCTTATCATAATTTTACGAAATTTCTAATCTCAAGTTCAAATAATCTTTTCCTTCCATTTCTAATATTGATTTTTTCTTCTTCCTAATTTTGCTATTGTGTTATCTACTATACAATATTATCACGTTTTCATGTGGTTTTTTTTTATTAATGTGTCACTTTATTTAATATTACTATCCACTATTCTTTAATATGACTAGTCTTAGGGTACGCGTTTTGCGCATGTTCCTATATTAATTTATATTTAGTTTTATAAAATTACATAAATCATGCTAAATAATGGGTTTGAGTTATAAAGTAGAACTTTTAAAAAGTGCTACTATAAGTTTTGAAAATAATAAAAATTGGTCACATTTAGCTAGCACTATAAAGAAAAAAATCTTACTCTACAAAAGTTGTTAGATGTCAAATCGTGATTCTTATGACTTCTGCTGGAATACCTTATAAAAATTATAGACTTATAGTTATTTTTATGACAAAGCAAAAAGTCACGCAAAAAAAAAAATGATCATGAATATGATTCCTCAGAGATTTATCAAATAGCACAAATTGAAATATTAAATTTTTGGTCTTTCGGTGACTCAGAAATATATGGTGACAAAGCAAAGTTTAAACTGACGAATAGTGTTGCTTCAAGTCTCGCTCTTTTGTCTCATTTCTTTTACCGTCAATATTACACTTATGGAAATGAATTTATGTAGTTTAAGAATTTTTTCAATTTGACAATGATGTTTAATTTGATGAATTTAAAATATCGTTAAATTGGTTTTTTGCTAATAATGAATTAATTTAAAAACTTAATTATTTATTCTAAACATTAAAGGAACTAATTAATATTTTGCTGATTCAGGTCTTAACATTAGCTCATCTCACTTGTAAATGTTTATCTATAACATGAAAGTAATTACATTTATTATATTGTTCAAAATATAAGGTAATTAAAGTTTTAATCGCTTTAAGCTACCAAATGTTACATTACTCGTATTTGTGGCTAAAGTGGAGTTCTTTTAGAAATTAACCATGATGGTCTTTAGATATTTTTCAAATGTGATGAAGGATGTTCCCTACGGAAATGGGACATTGATGAAGAGTTTGTATATAATAGCAATGCCATTAAGCTAACGATTATTCTTGAAGCTGACATGCACCACTTCTGCTTTTATGTTGTCTAAACTTGCTCAAGAAAATTAACAAAGTAACTTAATCAAACAAAACTAAAGAAAGAACAAAACTATGTACTATATATATAGTACAATATGCAAAATTAATGACTTAATCCGTTTGAAAAAAGTGATTCCGAGGTCCCGAATAACGAATATCGCATGGATCGTAAGATGAACTAATTTCTAGCAAATTAGTTTCGCTTCACCTGTTAGAATATGAAAAAAAATACAACTCCATCAAACATTGAAATAATAAGTCCCTCGTAAACAGGTTTTCTTTAGATAATGATGATGACTATGAATAGTAGACCTGGTGAGTATGAATAGTAGACCTTGACTTGCATAAAAAGCAATTAACTTCATTGTATAAGACTAAATATAAACGTATTGATGAATATAAGGAAAGAATAAAGTTTTCAAAAGTTAAAGGTACATAATAGGATCCTACATATTTAAATAAAGAAAGACTTAAGAGCCCAAGTTTTAGTTAATTTTAAACTAAAGTTGCTACAGCTATAAAATCAACAAAAGTTTCATAGTTCATAGTCGTCCACTGTCAAATTTACACATAAAACAAAAGATTGCATTTGTATTAACTCAAATTTAATTGTATAATATTTTGTCAAATATGTATACATCCGATTTAATCAGAATTTCGAGTAAAATCAAGTAACATTGCAGTAAGAGATTCACATATACACCAAATCAAGTGCGAAACTTTATTGGGAAAAAACTCAAATTAAAATTATTTACTATTCATATAATGTGAATCTGATTTGGATTTCACAATAGTTTGTCAAGTCTCATCCCTCTCCGACTTATTATGTATGACTAATTACGTGTGAAAAAAGAAATAACATTAATCCTGATGTGTGAAATAAACATCATAAATAGAAATAAAGTAACAAAGATATAATGAATTTGAGAATATGAAAAAAGTATTGAAAAAAATAAGATGTTATATAAAATAAGATTCATGAAAAATTGAACATAAATGAAGCATCAAAGTAATAAAAATATAACATGGATTAAAAAGATAAAAGCAAATTAAAGAGAAAGAAGATACCATCTCCTTTATGTAAAGCAATTAGATCCCCATATTACCTCGTCATACTCCATAAGAGAAGGAATTTGAGTTAATTAGACGTCTATGTGGGATTAGTAATCTTAAATATTAGGGTTTTCTAGCTCAGAGAAGGAAAGTTTAATAACAAAAATTTTAGCTATCTAATATATAAATATAAGAAAAATTTAAATTACAATTTTATCCAATAAAAACTCTAATTTAAAAGGGTAAAAAAGGCGAACAATATTTCGCTAAGGGCCTTGTGCTTTTAATAAAAACTCTACGTTCGTGCGATGCACGGAATGTCTTATGTCAAATATTATGAAACGCATACAAAACATAATAAATTTTCAGTTGCATAATATTCTAAAATTAATTGCAACTGAATATGTACGAAATTCAATATGTACAAAGTTTAATAATTTGTTTCCTTAAAACAAAAAATGCAACGACCCGACTGGTCGTTTCGCTTTTTAGAACCCCCACTACTAGAAAATGGGCCTATGGCAACAGTTATTTTTGCAACGGTTAAAAAAACGTTGCCATAGAGTGGATATTGGAACGGTTGCAACTGTTACGGTAGCATAGGAACGATATCAGCACACTTTAGCTATTAAACCGTTCTTATTACAAAATAACCGTTGCCATAGGTTTTTTTTTGCCTACCAGTTTTGTGAACCGTACCAATAAATTTGTTTACGGGAACGGATTTTAATAAAAATTTCTACTGGAACGGGTTTTTTTCCCTCCTCATTTTTTCCCATGAATTTTTCTAAACCCGCCAAGACTATCCCTATCTATCTTATTTCTGATAAATTTTGTTAATTAATGTAAATTAAATAACAAAAACATTCCACTATCGACATCTCCAAGCCTATCTTCCAATAAACCCTTTCATCTCCCCATAGAACTCAAAGGCATCGACACCTCCAAAGCTCTCAATACCTTTCACCTTGAGAATTCCATCTATGGCTAACTCTAAATCCCCATATCCCCAAATCAAATCATTGGCCTAACCCAATATCCCCAAATCTAAGTGTCGATCATTTTTTGTTATTCGAAGAAGAGAAGGCATCAAAGAGAACAAAGGAAAAATCTAAAAGACACGATTAAAGGTGAGAAAACTACTTCAATCGCGAGAAAGTTTCGACCCAAAAGGCACTATGTGAGAAACTAACTTCAGGTGCAAGTTTTTCTTTTCTAATTTGGTTAATTTCTTCTTTAATACGTAGGATGTGAGCAATATATTTGATTTCTTGCTTTGACTGTAATATTATTCAAGAAAAGAGGAAAAGGAAGCCCCGGGGGGGGGGGGGGGGGGGTTTAGACGTTTGTTGTATTACTTATTTTCTGGGGTTATTTTTGAAGGAGGAAAATTAGATTTTTATGGTCTTATTAGCTTTGTGTATCAGTTTATTTTTTACTAAATTTTAGGTGTTTATTTTAGTTTTTGTTTTGTAGGAAAATATTGGGGAGGAGGGGGTAGGGTTTGGTGGTCGTTGAAGAAATTATGAGAGATTTGTTATCCTTTTGTTCGGTTGTTGAGGCTCGATCCTTCTCCAACATCCTCTTCTGGCTCAGTTGTGCTACATTTTGAGGTATAATATCAAATTTGTGATCCAACCATGCTACATTATTGATTATGTTTTCTTTATTCTGTATAAATTAATATCTGAAAGCATAGTCATTACTGTTATGACTAGTCCAATACCCATCCTTTGAAGTTCAGTTAGCCCGGTGTTGTCAAATTGCCTTTTTAAATTGTCATAGTTGCCAGAGTAGAGTTACCATGGAGTCACTTGATCAACATGAACATTGCCATGGATTGTGGGTGAATGTGTTGTCTAATAAGCCACATGACATGATATATCTATAACCCTAATCATATCTTTTGTTTCCTACTGAACTTGCGCATGTTTACATTATCCAATCAAGGCATGAGCTAGCAGTATCTCTAGGTTTGCTTATTATCTTTTCTCTTCAATGGTTGGCAGATGTACCTACACTAAAAGCTTTTAGCTAGGTTGCCGTGTTAAAAGTGCAAGTAACAATGTTGAGAAATGAACTCAATCTAGATTAGAAATAGCAACATAATATTTTTAGGTAATTTCCTTTCCTTGAATTACTCATTCTGTTTGTTTTATCCACTTAGTGTTTTGTTTACCTAATACAAAGCTAGAAGAAGTCAATGACCCTTTCCTGAGATTGGTTACACCTACCTTGATCAATTAAGCAAGTAACGTGCCCGGTCTATAGGTCAGTGCGTCCATTTGGTTACCTTCCTGTATACTTGAACCACAAAAGTACTCCAATCACAGTGTTGCGTGTTTTCAAAGGCATCTCTTGTTGGAAGGGATTGGAACAATGAGAATAAGCATACGCTCTTGGAGAAATCTACTGAAGTGTAGTCTTTCTGCAGCACTTTATTAGTTGTTAGATTTTCTAGTGTTCAAGAAAAGTCAATTTAACTTCTGATACTAATTTTAATGAATTAGTCTAAGCTTCTACCCAGTGAATCTATTTGATCGGTTTGCTAGAGTTGTCAAGATTAGTTTCCTCAATTTGCTGCTGCCCAAATTTAAAAGCTGTTGTTGCTCGATCATTAACAGCTGAAACAGTGCGCTTTGTTTGTGTTGCTGCTGCTCGTGGAAAGCATTAGTTGCCCTAATTCACCTCCATAATCCCCACATGACTCCATTGATTGTGATGGAACTTCATACACGGATGTTCCAACACCCACATGACTCCATTGATTCTCTGCTTCTCTCTGTGGAACAGAAAAGTAAGTAAATATCTTAGGGAAAGGAGCTAAAGGGCTGTGAGCTTTTTGCACTTCACTAAACACTAGACATTAATAGGAGTAAGGGCGTTGTATTTTAGGATCATGGTGTATTGCAGTTTACTGATTTTGATAAAATTTTCTCTAGCGGGCCTTCGTTTATTGTCGTTCTGTCATCCTTATCTTGTGGGTAGAACTGTTGTTGGTGTGAATGGATCTCATTTCATTTTTTGTATTTTAGGTAATAACAATTGGAAAAGAAAGATACACAGTTGGTGAGGCATTGTTTCAACCATCTATATTGGGTAATGATACTCATGGAATAGTCGAGCAGCTTGTTCATAGTATTTCGTCTGTGTCGTCTAAAAATCACCGCCAGCTGCTAGAGAACACAGTACTTTGTGGTGGCACTGCTACTATAACCGGTCAGTCTTCATCTCCTTGTTTAGATGAATGTGACTGACGAATGTTCATATTTCTCCGTATTTCTGCGCTTCTGTTTTGTTAGTAGAACTTTTTAGTTTTCCTTGTTTTGTTGGTTTATCTCAAGTAGTTCAATTTGATTGGATTTATTTGAAATGCTGGTTGTATGACATTCAGTCCTTTCCTTGCTCGAATTAATGCGACCGGGAAGTGTAATATTCCCTTTTATTTTCCGTTATTGGTATTTTTTTGGGGGGCAAGCTTTCAATATTTATGTACTGGATACATTTGAGATTGAGTGCACTTAGAAGAGGTCAGATGGGCTGATGTTTAGCTAGTGGACTATAAGTAGCAGTCAGCAGCAATAATTGTTCTTTACAAAATATGGCTTCTCCTTAGGAGAACTACCTTGATCATTTCCTTCATAGAATTGGCTTGTGCTTCATATGCTTGATGGCTACAGCAATTGTCACTACCGCACAGAAAGCTACATTATCAAACATGTTTTTTATATATACTTTTGGACAGTTCAATGCAAAACAAAACTACAATGTGGTTACAGATCTTACCTCCCCCCAAACGAAACCAAGACGATACTATTCTAACTCTAGGCTTAGTATTATTCAAGTCCAGGCTAAGTATTTTTAGCTAATGACATGAGAAATGATAATGTAGCACACATAAGTAAAATAAGATGGTTGAACCAGAGGAGTCTTATGCAATATGAAGATACCTATAAGGTCTACGAACACACTACCCTCCCCAGAACTCAGGTAGGGGTTATAAGGTCTACGAACACACTACTCTCCCCAGAACCCCACTTGTAAAATTTACGAGGTTTGTCGTTGTTGTTGTTAGCTAGTTCTTTATTACTACTAATTCCTCTGTTTTATCGTATAGGATATCTATGGATAATGATGATAAAAGTTGGATGAATCTCCTAAGATGGACGGATGAGTATATCCGTGGAGTGAATGATTTTCTTGATAAGGCATTTGAGCGAGCCGCCCAAGGAAAATATTATGCCCTTGCAAAAAGTGCATGAATCGCTATTGGTATTATAGAAATGTGGTGGACGATCATTTGGTTGTTCATGGATTTGTTGATGGTTATACCAAATGGGTTTTCCACGGGGAAGGATTTTCCTCGAGAAGTACACCTCATGCAAGCAATGATGATGAAGGTTCTACCATGCGTGACGATATTGATGGACTACTTCATGATACATTTAGAAATATAGAGGGTCAGGTAGGGGATGAAGAAGGAGTTGGGGAAAGACTATCTGAAGATGCAAAGAAGTTTTTCAAATTGTTGGAGGAAGGAAAACAAGAGTTATATCCGGGGTGTGAAAATTTTAGTAAACTGAGTTTCACTATTCGATTGTACTTGCTTAAATCCTTGCATGGGTTGAGCAATGTGGCTTTCTCCGATTTGTTAGAGTTGATAAAAGAGTCATTTCCCTTTGCTCAGGTACCAGAATCTTTCAACAAGGCTAGAAACATGATAACAGATTTGGGTCTTCATTACGAAAAAATACATGCATGCCCTAATGATTGCATGTTATTTTGGAAAGAAAATGCGAATGCCGAGAATTGCTCTATTTGTGGGTCTTCAAGATGGAAGAGTGGTGGTCCTTTGACTAAAGCAAGCTCTAAAATCCCTGCAAAGGTTTTAAGGTACTTTCCTTTAAAGCCTAGGCTTCAGAGGATATTCATGTGTCCTGAAACGGCTGCTGCAATGAGATGGCATACTAATGAACGACCCAATGATGGGAACATAAGACATCCTGCTGATGGGGAAGCTTGGAAGGCTTTTGATTCTTTGCACCCAGACTTCTCTAGAGATGCTAGGAATGTTAGATTGGGTCTTTCAAGTGATGGTTTCAACCCGTTTCGGACAATGAGCATTTCTCATAGCACGTGGCCTGTTATGTTAATGAACTATAATCTATCACCGTGGATTTGCATGAAGTCGGAGTATATAATGTTGTCTATGATCATTCCAGGTCCATCATCTCCAGGAAAGATATAGATGTGTACCTACGACCATTAATTGAAGAATTGAAGGAACTATGGGAAACTGGGATAGACACATTTGATGCTGAAACCAACCAAACTTTCCGAATGCGTGCTGCCTTAATGTGGACAGTTAGTGACTTTCCAGCATTAGCAATGCTTTCAGGATGGAGCACTAAGGGGAGATTGGCATGCCCCACTTGCAATTATGACACATGTTCTCAATATCTCAAAAATAGTCATAAGATGTGTTACTTGGGCCATCGAAGATTTTTGCCTCGTGATCATCCATTCCGACGAGATAAAAAGTCTTTTGATGGTAAGGAGGTGCATAGACCTGCACCTGCTCTATTGTCGGGTGAAGAAGTGTTTGAAGAGCTGCTTGAATTCAACAATATCTTTGGAAAGAGAGCTAAAAAAGGCCACGGAGTGATAAGGGTCCGTGGAAAAAGAGATCCATTTTTTTCGAATTGCCATATTGGGTGCATAACAAATTGAGGCACAATCTTGATGTGATGCACATCGAGAAAAACGTATGTGATAGTTTGCTTGGGAATTAATTAGAAATANTCCGCTTATGCGGTCAAAACGCCGCTTCTGCGGCTCCTTCCCAAGCCGCCCAGCTTCTGCTTCTGCGCTTCCTTTTCTGCAGGTGCGGTCCCGTATCTGCGGCTCCCTGACCGCATCTGCGGTCCCAGCTCCCCTTACCAAAATCCGCATCTGCGGTCTTCCTGGCTGCTTTTGCGGCTCCGCACCTGCGGCCTAATCTTCGCAGGTGCGGAAATACCAGATATCAGCTGCCTCAGCTTTTCTTCAACTCCAAATTCGATTCGTTAACCACCCGGAATCCACCCGAGGCCCCCGGGACCTCAACCAAACCTACCAACCAATCCCAAAATACGTTACGGACTTGCTCGAGGCCTCAAATCATATCAAACAACGCTAAAACCACGAATTTCACCCCGATTCAAGCTTTATGAACTTTGAACTTTCCAACTTCTACTTCCGATGTTTAAACCTATCAAATCATGTCCGATTGACTTCAACTTTTGCACACAAGTCATATTTGACATTACGAACCTACTCCAACTTCCGAAATTGGATTCCGACCCCGATACCAAAAAGTCCACTTCTGGTCAAACTTCTCAAAAACCTTCAAATTTCTATCTTAAGCCAAATGGCTTCAAAATGACCCACGGACCTCCGAATTCCCTTCCGATCGCGCTCCCAACTCCAGAATCACCATACGGAGCTATTTACAGTCTCGGAACCCCAAACGGACATCGATAACACTGAAATGCACTTCAAGCCAAACTTATGAAATTTCTTCTAAAATGCTAACTTCCACAATAGGCGCCAAAACGCTCCCGGGTTATCCAAAACCCGATCCGGGCATACGCCCAAGTTCGAAATCATCATACGAACCAGCTGGAACCTTTAGATCCTGATTCCGAGATCGTTTACTTAAAAATCGAATCTTAGTTCATTCTTTCAACTTTAAGCTTCTGAAATGAGAATTCTCTTTCCAAATCAACTCTGAACTTCCCGGAACTTGATTCCGACCACGCGTACAAGTCATAACACCTGAAATGAAGCTGCTCATGACCTCAGGCTGCTGAATGGAGCGCTAGAACTCAAAACAACCGGTCGGGTCGTTACAAATTCCCTTTTGGGCACTTTAAGAGTTGATCTGAATGTAAAAATCTTGACGTGAGGTGTAATTGTAAATAATTGGTGAAAGAATAATTTTTTAAAGTTGTCGATATTTTGAGATGTTGTCATAGGAACTAAAAAATATATATAGTTGCTTCAGAATTTCACACACACACACAAAAGCAACAAAGAAACGTTGGAAAATCAAAAAAAATAAAAAAAAATAAAAAAAATGAAAGGGATGAAACAAAATAGAGGTTTATACTTTAAATGAGATGAAAGGCAATTGTACTTAAGAGATAAAATAAATGTGTAGTACCCATAGGAAATTTGAGTCATTATTATCTATATGTATCATACCCATCCCTAAAGCCTACTTTACAACATTGCAAAAGTCCTACATGATCTTAACTCAGAGACTCCTATATTAGTGGAGAACCACATGATAGTCAAGCTTATGGTTATTTTCAGTAGCTTGAGGTACTTCTTTGTTGAGAGTGAGCGTATTTTTTATCTATGCCCTTCTTTGATCCTATATCTATATATTATGTGATATATGGGCATCTCTTTTCATTTAGTGAGACACACTTGGGATTAGAAAATATTATGATTTTAGTTCTCATGGTGAACATGAGTACAGCTGAAAGTTGTTTGAACTCGTGGATTGGTCTTAGTCAATTCTTCTCTGTCAAAACCTCTCATGATTTCACTAAAAGTGTTTAGTTACTATGTTCATTTTTTTTCTTTGCTCAAGGACGAGCAAAAGTTTAAGTATGGGAGAATTTGATAAGTGCATTTTACCAGATGTTAACCACATAATTTCTCTCATAAAAACATATAAATTATCATGTTTCCTCCATATTTTTAACTTTATTTTGCAGGAATAATTATAGAAGAATTGTTGTGCGCAGCATGAAGAAAAATACAACAAAGAAGTGTGAAATCGAGCTACGATTCATTACTGTCGTGACAATGCACCAAGTCTCGATTTGCCATGCTGAAATCTAAACTTAGAATTGCAGAATTCTCATCTCTGCAGTTTCAAAATCTTGATTTGCCATTGAAATCTAGCACCAAATCGAGAATTCAAATTCTCATATCTGCAACTGCAAAATCTAGATTTGCCATGATGAAATCGACGAAATCTAAACTTAGAATGACGGATTCTCATATCTGCAAATGCAAAATCTAGATTTGCCATGGAAATCTAGTACCAAATCCAGAAGTCATCATGAAACTTTCTTATATAAGAAGATGTTGCCCGATCAGAGAAAGGATAACAGTGGAGAGAAAGCTTAGAGCTAGAAGTCTGAATCTAAATTCTTAATAAGCTTCTCTGTTTTATTTCTTTTACTAGTATCGATTTATCTTTTCTTTTAAATCACAATAGTGGTTTAGTTGTTGTTTCTAAATAAATTCCAGTGTAGGAAATTACTCTAGTTCCTGCTTTTAATTAAATAGGGGGAATTATTCTTCTTGAATATTTTTTTATATTTTCTTATTTAATGGACAAGAATATTTCCATTGTTAGTACTAGTTCCAGTATGGAGTAACTTTTCTTGTGTTGGGAGAAAGACGGATCTTAATATTTTTATATAATAGTAGATATTATTCCTCGAATTCACATGCTTGAGCTAGAATTTATTTAACTTTTATCTGCTTTTACAGTTAGACGTTATTTAATTTATTAACATCTATCTATCTTGTACTACATATTAACAATTTATTAATTCTGTAATCGAGAGAGGCGGAAGAAATAATATTGTTAAATGTAGTATTGATAAATGTTAATATTTATTCAGTAACATCTATCTCTTTTATGTTATAATTAATTTTACACTTATTTGTAATCGAGAGAGGCGAATGGTGTAATAATCAGTTATAACAAGTAGGGTAACCGAAAGGGACTTACTATCAAGAGCATGTTTTAGTTCAATCATATATTTCTGGTTCTTTAGTAATACTATTTTGAAGATTAATTTGTATAACCGAGAGGAGTGCAATTAATTATTCAACTTGAGTAATAATATATATTTGTAATCGTGAGAGGCATTTATACCTTTTTGAGAAATAGAAATTGAAGAATAATAATTCTACTATATAATAGAAATATTAAGTGAAGTCAAGATCCCAACACCTTT